ATTGTTCCACCTGGACCTCATTGGGTGAAAGTGTATCTAATGAGCTATCGTGTGATTGGCGAGTTGTAGCAAGCTGTATTGCTGGTCAGAGGGCTTAAAACCAAATGAAAACTTTTTTGTGAAAGTACAAAAGCTATAACTACAGTATTCTCATTCCAGAAAATGTGCATTTCTTTTTTCCATCAATATACAGTATATAACGTTTTCACATTCTGTTCCTCTGCGAACCGAGCCAATTTAAAAGGTAAGCCAGTAAACAAGACAATACAACTGACAGTGCTACTCATTTAGATTAACGGCATTTGGCTTGTCTGACGAAGCATCTGCACAGGACACTGAGTCAGCCATTGCAGGCCAGAGGCCTGAGAGGGAAGAAAGCTACCTTGTTTCAAGACAGCTTCAATCTCCATGATGTATTCCTCATAGCTGCTGGAAGGGTTTCTCTTGATTAATTTGGCTTTAAAAACTGCAGAGAAAACACAACAAAAATGGCTTCTAAAATGTAGAAGTACTCACATACTGTATGTCAGTAGAGATCACTCTGCAAACATATACCTACAGTTACACATTCATATACAGTAGAACTGAGTACATGTATAGATCATGTGGTCTCTCATTTGGGAAATTGAGAGACGGGCACTGCACAGATCTGTGGTGCCTGATTCTTGCTGTAAGAGTGGAGCACTCCATTCATTCTTCTGCACTGCAATTATATAGGTATGGTAATAATTACAGTAGCTCAACATGGAATCCCAAATGCATTGTGTCCAAACATTCAATAAACGCCAAACAAAGTGTTAACTTGAATGTTAGCATCAGCAGTCCTGATTCTAGAGAGATGGGGGCTTTTGTGCTCTTTTAATGGGACTTAAACTCATTGATCATTTTGTTTTTTAGTGTAAATGAAGAGGTCTTGCTACTCATTGAGTAAACAGAACTCCTTTAAGCGAATCCTTTAAACTTAGCGTTGTACACTGGCATTAATAGACACTTTATCATCAGAACTGTTAATGAATTGCACGTTAGTAACAATGTAATATAAAAATGTGTTTGATTGCCATTGACAGTATACTGTCATACCAAGTTAACAGATGTGTTCCATCTCCAAATAACAAAGACCCACTGAGGCATGTGTTTAGTTTCATTCTCTGTGACAAAGAACCTTTTTACCACGTTTCCACATCTATAGCAGGTTATGTTGTTCAGAGACCAGTTATTTGTACTTCCCTACTCCAGATTCAAAAGGTAAAAGGTCAAGATTAAAAGTTGTGGTACCGTAGTTAGTAGCAGTGCATGCTTTAATCAATCGCCTATCCACAGTAATTTCCTCATCCTTCTTCTTCAGTGCACTACAGCTTTCTGTAGAGAGAAAGAAATCACGAATCATTCATTTTGAATTTTACCTGTTAGTTATTTCAGCTGTTCTACCAATTATCCCTGAGTGTGTTTGACAAGATGTTGATGCAGGGTTCCAGTTCTTCATGGGGCTGAGGGTGTCTTCACTTCAGCTGTAGCAGCAGTGCTCGGGCGGAGCGGTGGCACTGTGGCTAAGGATATGTGCTTGTGGCTGGAAGATTGCCAGTTTAAATCCTATGGCCAGCAGTGAAATCCTATGCTGTTGGGCCCCTGAGCAATGCTCTTAACCTCAACTGCTCCAGGGGTGCTGTATAAATGGCTGACCCTGTGCTCTGACCACAAGCTTCTCTCTCCCTGTCTGTGTGCCTGTGTGTCTCATGGAGAGGAAGCTGGGGTATGCAAAAAGACAAATTCCTAATGCAAGAAATTGTATCTGGCCAATAAATGTATCTTTAATCTTAATTGTTAATATGCTACAGGTCAGTTGGGAAGGCTTTTTAGAAAGGCTTCTCTCTGGCCTTGACTGGACACCAACTCTAGTACAAAAAATCCCTGCTGATCCAAGCCTGCAGGAAGGCAGGGATGAGGGGCTTCCTTCATGTGCAGCACATCCTGGGACTGTATCTCCACTGGGATGTTCCCATAGTTTTCACTGGGGAAATTTCAGATTTTCGGTACGTGGCATGAAGTGTCGACCTCTGGCTATTGGAAACAATAAACATCTCTAAAACTTGCAGGGTTCCCACTCTGAAGAACTGGAACTGTCCTTCCTTGCATTACAGATCACATGGGTCTGCAACCTTTATTTCATAAAACCTTCCCAGAGATGAGTTGGTCATTATCAGCTCTTATCGAATCTTGTGATATGATGTAGTCCATAGACTTCCAGCATGCTTTTGGAGTTTAATGCTCTTCCTTGGCCGACTGGGTCGTACCTTCGGCGCATCGACAAACACTGTCCCTGCAGATCCTTCCTAGTTGGGCCTGCTTCTTGACTGGGTGATAGAACCTTGTGCAGCGGATATCTGAAAGAGAGAAGGTTTTAGTCTTTCCCCAAGTTCATTGAGAAATATTTTATAATCATGTGACTTTGTGTGGAAGACTGTGACTGTGCACTCAGGATGGATCTCCCAAAGGCCATTAATTTTTCAATAAGCCGGATGCTCCCAATCTCAATCAGGCAATTGAACATATTATTTGAAGCCCCTGCTTATTCAGTGCCCAGACATTGAGCTACGCGCTCAGTGCTAATCTTTGCAGTACCGAAACACTCATCCAACCGATGCCTTCTTTTCCCCCTGGATTCGCATGCACTGAATCAGTGGTGCCATTCAGCTCTCGCTGCTTTTTTTTGGCTCATAAGTTTTCCACTCTTTTCTTTTTCGTTGTCTCCTCCAAAGTTATGTCTCCCCCAGCCTTCTCTGCTGCTGTTTTCATCCCGCTAGGAACCTTGGCATTATTTCAGACCGTTTCATTCCAGCCAGCCTCTCTGCTGCATCAAGGCAGCCCTTTTCCTGGCTTAATACTAAAAGTTGTATTTAAACCATTCTCTCTGCTGCATTAAGGCAGCCTTTTTTAGACTGTATTGTTCAGACAGCTACATTTTCAATCAGCCTGCATTATTACTTCATCTTCGCCCAGGGGTGTCCAATCCTGATCTTGGAGAGGGTGTTGTGTCTGCAGGTTTTCTTGGTCTCTTTAAAGCTGCAGCGACTGAGAAACTGGGGGATGCTGTGAAATTGATCCAGTTAGGAAAAGTAACCAGATGGTTTAGCTCATAAATAGCTGTGCTGCAATGAAACCCTGCAGACACACTGACTAATGGCCAGCACCCAGGGACCATGTCTGAAAAGCCCTCGTCTAAAGCAAATGTGTAGATTTATATGGAACTGTAACTCTGGAGAGAAAGGGTTCTTTTGCCCTTACCATTGGTGTAATACCCATAGATTGTCACACTGGAAGGCTGGATGAGTTTCACCTCAAACATCTGGTGCAGGGTGATAGAGAGGCACTGTGTTTCGTTCAGAACCTGCCGGGTTGATCACACAAGAAATCAAAACAATGAAATTATCGTGTACAAATTGCAGACTTTACTGCATCAGAGAGGCAAGCAGCCTTTCTCAAGATTGGCGTAGGTCATAGCATCTGAAATTTCCTTGCATTTCATTTCTTGCTAGCTGTTATTAATTTAGCTGGATTTTCAGCTTTTTATGTGGTTGACTTTCATCTTCTGAGACCACTTTCTAACGTTTAATACTGATATTTTTCAAAAGAAAAAAATGTGGAGGAGAGAAGCATTTGGAATAAGCATTTTGGAATAAAGTGCTTTAGGACCAGCTTGTGAAATATGCACACCACAGCACCTGCAAACCTATTATTTTCTATGATTGTCTATTATTATCATTGTATGGACTTCATGAACAGTTCAGTACAGTTTCAAGCAATTGTGTGTAATTGCTGATGAAGCTGATGGCTTCAGGTTACCATTAGCAGGTAATTCACTGCTTGTCATTCACTGTTGAGCCAGTTAAGGTGGTTAAGTTACCTTGCCTCAATAACCATGAAAGATTGTGAGGCAGCTAGAGGAGGTGGTGGGGTATTGGGTGGACACAGGCTGTCTACCAACTCTTAGTTGAAACTCTATCATTTAGATGCTAAGCACCTAAGCTTTATGCCCAATAAAAATGAATGGTGAGTGAGAGAGAGACTGTCTTGCTATCCTATCACTTACAGTATACCCTACAATACCTAAGGATCGTGCTTTGGAAAGCTACATGATGAGAGGCCATTTTTCACTCAGTTCTTTGTCCTATCATTTATACACTGCAGCCCCTAAAGACTATACCTTGTAAAGATGAATGATGAGAGATCCTCTCTCGCTCAGCTCTTTGTCCAGATTAAAATGGTCGATATATCGGTCCACTCTGTTTTGTAACTTTTGCAACAAAAAAAACACATATTTTAACAGTACATTCAGTACATTCAGACTAGCCCAGGCTACAGCTGCTAATTCCTCAATTTCAGAATCAAGAAATCAGGAAGGACTATCAGGATCATTAGTAGTGCTGTAAACAAGAGCTTTGCAACAATATGTGATGAGAAAAGTCACCTCATCAGAGCTTTGTTTTTTTCTTAACTACTGCCAGCGGGTTTGAGGAACATTAATTGCAATGTCGAAATGTTACAAAAGAAGAAAGTGTAGTCTGTCAGCCCAAGCGGGACATTTGCATACATTTTGAAGGTTCTCTAATGAGGGCACGCAGCCGGTGGGCAGGGAGATGTCCAGTATGGTCATGGTAGCATCGTGGTCACCCAAGTACCTGGGGACAAGACACAGGTAAGGCAGTCCAAGGTTATTTTAGCATGGTATCATACAGATTTTCAGCGTCTGTTAGAGTGCAGAGTGTCACGATCACTACTCCTCCTCTTAAGGGTGCTCCAGCCCTTCCTTGTTCTACCTCATCCCCCACACCTGTGCCTTATTCCAGCCCCTCTTTAGTTTCACCTTAAAAGCCAGACGTAGACATCACTCAACGCTCTTCATTGAACCCTGTTTCGTGAGAGCCCGGGTCCTGCTGCATCTGGCTCCGTTACGATTTTAACCTTCTGTTCCTGATCCCCCCCGCCGGTTCCGACCCAGTTCCCGTGTTTTAACCCCCGGATGGATCTCCTGGCCTTGGACTCTCGTTTCTGTCTTGGATTACCCGTTTGGACTTTTACATGGATTGTTCGCCCCGGAATCACTCCCCCTGGACACCTACACCCCATGGACCCGCCCCCTGTCTCCTGACCCTCTCCTGCATGGCTTTTCCCCCCAGTGTTTCCTCACTTATCCAGATCGTGTCATCTGCATAGGGCCTGGAAAGAACTGTTCGTGACACAGAGTACAGCACATTCGCAAAGGTATGCACCAAAGATACACGTTAAGAAAACATTGCACTGCAGTTATTCAGCGACGAGATACGTTTCTGGATTATTCTATTTTGCCAATGCTTCCTAATATGTGCCAATGCGCCGATATTCACTCCAGGACCTAGAGGGGGTGCTGTCTTTTCTGTTTTTCATTTCACCCAGGTTCCCTTACTGACTTGACCTGAACCAGTCGTATTCTTGATTGGCCTTTCTTACCACTCTTTCAGGTCTTTACTCATGCCGTATACAACCTGCTGGACTGCGACCCTTCGAAATCAGTGGTGAATAATACGGATCTACTGCATTAAAGCCAGTGCCTCTGAGTATGTTCTAAAACCTTAAATAATTGAGACACATTTAGCATGCGTTTTTAGTGCATTCAGAGCTTACATGCTGTGGTGGATGGTGCTTCTCAGGAGATACGGGCACTGGCCTTTCTCCCAAATTGGTCTAAATGTTAAAGAGAATGATGTGCAGACAGTCCTTCATTTACTCACTCTTGAGCCATAGGCACAGTGCGTTTCATTACAGTATACTTTGATATCATCCTGCTCTATGTACTGCCTATGTCATTATATCCTAATATCCTCCTCTATATTTTGCAATATAATACTGCAACGCATACAGCCGCCATTGCAGGTTGTGCGAGCCGGCTTACCAGCGCGGTGACGTCATCGCCTTTCCCTGTGAATAGCAGGGACCGCAGCCGCCGGGCTGATGGGAGATTTCCCTTTAGCTCAACTGGCTGGGTCCCTGTTGAGTGACGCCGGAGGCCCAGGTTTGAGTCCCCGACGGTGGGGGGGCCGACCTGAGGCAGCAGCGGTGAGGACGCATACCCACGTGAACCCAAGAGCGCTACAATACACTACATTTTGCATATACGCAGTGTAAGATGACCAGGGGAAGGGTCATCCAGGACAGGTATTTCAGGAACGACCTGCTCAATATACTCGACTTAGACCTGAGCAAGATGGCCGCCAAGAGAAACCACTTGACCCGCAGTTGGAAAGGGCTTATTCCTAAAAACAAGGAGATACAGGTGTGTCTCGTCAGGAAACAAAATATGAATGCCCCGGAAGGGGTGAACTTGTGTGGAAGCCAGTAGGTGAATGCATTTTGGAGGAGATAGAGGAATCGGGTCAGTGTTTGAAAGGATTGAAGAATTACAGATTAACGGAAGGAAATATGGATTCCGGTTTACAGTTCGTGGCTTGGATGCGACGCGGATTTGTGGTACATTATGGACTTTGGAACTCGGATTGAATAAGGATTGAGAGGATGGGTTGGGGACTGGGTTGGAAGATAAATGGACTGGAGAAACCGAGTAAAACTCCACGGAAATTAAAGAAGAAAAGTGTGGTGTGAGTACTTTTTCTCATTTATGTAAAATTTTCCCCCGGAGACACCACAGAATTTATACATAAGCAGAAGACCTGTATTGAAAGGGGCAACAAAACAAAAACATGGATTTTAAGGCTATACAAATTAACAAGGGGTTCTTGGTTCCTTTATCCAGTAATCCAATCACTGAATCCAGTCATTAGCCAATTACATCATGATCCCAAGCAGTTGACACTCAGTTGACCAAGTACTCCTAGAGATGGACAAGCTTGACTTGACTAGGGTATTCTTGGTGAGCTGCAAGCATGTAAACTCACCCCACCATCCCCCTGACAGTGGCTTGCAAGACAATCACAAAGCACAAGCTCTCAGTGAAAACTACTCGATGCTGCATCTGTAGTAAGACGTCTGGGATTCAGTGTAAAAAATAATGAATGAAGGGTTGTCATTGTACATCATACATTGACACATACTTGAGCCTTATCTGGAGTGAGGGTCTTGGGTATCTCCTCATGTTGGATGACTAGGAGGGAGGTTTATTACAGGAAAAAGCAAAAGGGACTGTTGTTTCGAAAGGTTAGTTTTTGACAACACTGTTCTCTTTGCTGTGTTTGCTCATCTGCCCCCATATGGAGAATTTAATGAGACTAAGGTGCGAATGACACATTCCAGGGCACAAAAGAGAATAGAGGGTGAGCCTCTAGACTCATGCCTGTTGGCCTGTGAATTTGAGGTCTTGCAGCAGACAGTGCTGTTGTACCTTTGAGAAAGATGCTGTATCCCAGTCCACCAGCTGTATAAGTGGGGACCTTTGCAGCATTGTTGGGGGGGGTGATCCCTGTGATAGACGTTGTGTTTCGTGTTCTGAGAGTGTGGGTCATGTGTACTCTGTCCAGTTAAAGCTACTGGCACATCTTGTAAAATGAACCAGTGTGCACTGGACTGCTCGTCAGTGTTTTGGGAACCTGTGTACTGTGTGATGAAAGTGCCGTACACAGCCTTGCTTGTACACAAAGCATTGGTGTGAAGGTGAATCACCCATCTTAATGAAATGCAGCAGTGCAGACTAGTGCACTCACCTCATACAGATTTCCAGTGTGTAGGACCTGATGCAGTTTGGACTAGTATGCTCACCTCATACAGATACCCAGGGTGGAGAACCTGATCTAGTGTGGACATGCAGACTCACCTCATACAAATATCCAGGGTGTAGGACCTGATCGTCCTTTCTGGGGCCTTGGCTGCACAAGGGGAAAAAAGGAGGAGAAAGATTAAGACTAACTTAACATCTGGATAACTTTTCATCTCATGCCCTGCTGTAATATTTTCCCCAGCTTCACTTCAGTTCAGCAGGATGTGCAGTAAATATACTGTACAGTCCTTAATGTAGAAACATGACTCTTTGCTTTGGCTGACTACTAGGTTTGCAGTCTCTGAATATCTACTGTCAGGAATATGGCGGATAGGAACAATTTGCTAAACAAAAGAATATTGAAGACCTAGAGACAGTTTTCGGATTTTGTGATTTTAAACGCTACAGCTCCGTGTTTGAGTCTGTTGGCCAGGACCCGACTATTTTTATAGATTCTGTTCTGACACACCCCAGGGCTTGTTACAGATGATATATTTAGGAGGCACAGTCTTTACAAACAAGAGCTCATTTCTCGCTTCCCATAGTTTTTCTAGCTGCTTGTTCTCCATTCCATAATGTCAATTCACGAGGAATGACAACGCCCCAAAATCAAAGTGTGGAGAACTATTGTGGAGTGAATATTTGGCTAAACCCGCTTGGCTGAGGGCCGACCTCCTTGCCGTAGGATGAGGAGGCCAGGACCCCCACGCAGGGGAAGCAAGGGGCAGCTGCAGAGGTGGAGGTGGGATGCAAAAGTCACATGGGAGGGAGAGGGAGATATCGCATTTGGTATTTATAGCATTCGGTGTAGGAAGGACGAAGGGAGTGATTGCTAATTGCTGATGGCAGGGGATGATTGAGCATGGTTGTTGTCATCCCTCCCGAACTTTAGTTAAATAAACTCCATTGAAAATACTCTACACCTTTCACTGCTCTGTTGCCCTTGTTTTTAAAAAGCTCTAAGAGAATAAGAGAGGTAAGGCATGGGCGTGGGCGTTGTTCTGATGAATTTCTAAGGTTCAGCAATAACATCATGGGAAGACCACAAGGACAGGACTCTGAGGGCAACATAGCAAAATCCCCCAAGAAAAAACCCCACAGAGGCGGGACAGGGGCAAGATGAGGACACTTACGATCCACTGCTTCTTTGATGGCAACTTCTAAGTCAAATGACTGGCATTTATCCTGTTGGTTGTCTTTCGGGAGGACATAATACTCTGTCACAACCTGCAAAGGAACCAGCCACATGACAGACTGAATAAGTGTACAATTCCCATTTATCATCGTCTGCAATTTTTTCAAATGGAAATGGCTGATGATCAGACTGTATCGATGAACCCACCGATCTAAAACAGATTCTACAAAGACCACGCAAAGCTGATGGAGATTGCCTGTTGCTATCAAAATATCTTAAATGCTTCTTCTGTCCATCATTTACCACAAAGTGTGTTAATGAGTGGGAATGAGCTGAATAAAGGGTGGAAAATAAAAATGGGAATATTCTTATCACGTGTGGCACAGTGGTTAGCATTGCTACCTTGCAGCAGTGGGGCCCTGGGTTCAATTCCAGACCTGGGGTGACATCAGGGGAATCCTACTCCGTCGGGCCCCTGAGCAAGGCCCTTAACCCCAGCTGCTCTAGGGGTGCTGTGTAAAAATGGCTGACCCTGCGCTCTGACCCCCAGCTTCTCTCTCCCGTCTGTGTGCCTGTGTGTCTCAGGGAGAGCAAGCTGGGGTATGCCAAAAGACAACTCCCTAATGCAAGAAATCGTATATGGCCAATAGAGTGATCTTATCTTATCAGCATGGCGTTTGTTATCCCTGTGTTTGCTTGGGTTTCCTCTAGGTGCTCTATATGACCTGCAATGAACTGGCACCCTGTCCAGGGTGTACCCTGCCTTGCACCTGTTGCTTCCTGGGATAATATCTGCCCCCCCAGATGAAGAAGCAATGTTCTTATCTTAGGAAGGAAAGTGGCTGAACTGTAAAGTGATTAAATAGAACTGTAGATTCTGAGATGATCCAAAGTCATGAAAGGTCTTAAATGTTGCATTCTGACATTTTAACAATACTGATCTCATGTGTCAAGATATTCGAACAGGTGAAAGCTCAAACACTATTTAGAGCCTCTGTTTACTTATACAGTATATACAAATGAGCAAACTGAGCATTTGAAAAGCCTACCGCTAGTTTTCCTCTTCCAGTTCCTGTGGCCTCCACGGTGAAGTTCTGATCAAGTTTTACCTTTGTGACATAAAGCAAAAGAATTAAAGCGTCTACTTAAGCAAAGAAAATCACTCACACCCAAACATCTTTAATAAGCACACAAGGTTTCAACATGGTTTCAACCGTAGCCATTTCATGAAAAAGTACACAACAGGACGTTGTGTGTGCTATGTCAGTCTCCATTTAATTTAAAGGGTGTTTAAAAAAACAACAACTTTAATTTCTGGGCACACTAAATGGCGCAGTTTGGTCGTTTGGTTCATTTAGACAAAACAAATATGTTCAGTGTAAGACATTTTTCCATTCTTGAGAAAGTCTGGCTTTCCTGTTCAGTGGTTCGGGCTTTTTATCACCAAACCTACAAATTATTTTCATATATTTTCATTTAACAAAACCCAATGTTCATGAATAAGAAGTAGACAGCTCTCCATTATCAAGGATTGCATGCTTTTCCCATTGAGGATATTTTGGAAGTTTAGCAGTATTTGTTTTACTGGCACAGCATTTACGGCAACCCACTTGTATAAGCTACAGTACAATACTGATCTGACTACATTTACACATTCTAAACTTTATATACTTCCAATACTTTGATCACATTTTATAATCATTTCTATCTTAAGTCCTTGCACTGGCTTCCTATCCAGGTTTTCTGTCAACTTCAAAAAGCTCATGTTCACATACCAGACTTTACATGGGCTTAGCATCCCAGTGTCTGCCTGCATTACTATCCTCTACTTCCCACCATGCAACCTTCATTCATCTAATTCAGGTCTCTTATTCAGGAGAGGTATCTAAATTCACTCTGAACAAACTCCAATATGTTCAGGATTTAGCAGCCAGAATCTTGACCAGCAGTCACACTCTACCCTTCTTGGAATCCTTGCAATGATTTCCTATCATGTTCACAGTCGACTTTGGGGAAGAATTTTAGCATTTACCTTTTTTAAAGTGTATAAGATAGTGACTAGTAGGCTTTGAAAAATGCCTTTTACCTAGCAACAGTATGAAAGAACAATTGCAAGCATATTATTTGACTTTTGATATTAATGCTACAACCAGAATGCAGAATGTCAATACAAGCAGAATGTCTAGCTCATTTCACACCTTTCATTTATATACTTCGTTTTGTCTGTATACAAGGCAAAACTGCTTCTTAAGAAGAACGTGGCCAATTACAAAGAAATGTTTGTAGAGCAAAAAACAACTCCTAATATAGAAACTTAGAATGAGCTTTCCTTAGAATGTGTGAATTTGCTGTATAAAACTCATAGCATTTATCATCTCAGTGGAGAGGTTACTCACAGATCTGTATGAGAGGCTGCTCTCAGATCTGCATGATTATGTCCTCCCCATGCGCATGAATAAAGGACTCTGCTTGACCACACCTAACCTGAGTGAAGAGTTTTCTTCGACAATTTCTAAACTTTTCTTCGACAACTCATGCTCACCTGTAAGGTTCTACATGGCTTGGTACCTCAGTATCCATCTGACTTATTATCTCCCTACTCCCCCACCTTGCAACCTTAGTTCATTTCTGTTCTCCTGTCTGTCCCCCGAGCCCACTCATACATTCTATGAGTTACAGGGTTTTCTTTTGCTACACCCCAAAGCTCAGAAATTCTATCCCTCAGAACAGGAGAAAAGTCACCTTCCCTGAGCACTTTCAAATCAAGATTACAAACCTTCTTCTTTCGAATGGCTCCTATCGAACTGGTTCTGTGTCTACCTCTTTGCTTTCCTACTGGATTTTAATCCCCTATTTTAACTGCGTAATGCTCTGCTGTTTCCTCCCATGATGGGCTTTTTTATCTCATTGTCAAACACTTTGGGGAGCCACGTTTTATGTTTTATTATTATCATTATTATTACTTTAGATGGAAGTTCTTAGCCGGAATTTAATGCGGGATGACACCCAAGCCACTTTCCCACTGGTTCTCAATTCCATCCATTTCACCTTTTTTCACGTCTCATCTCGCGCATCAAACAAGTTTGGAGTACAGAACAAGTTTCTTCCTCTTCTGATTGCATTTCTTGTCATGCATAAACATGCTTCCCTTGTCCACCCAAAGTCAATCTGTGCAACTGCCTCTGGGTTTGATTGCTCTGCGTGGAGATTGCAGCCTCCTTGTCCTCCAACAGAGGGGCTTGGACCTCAGCCAAGTAGGTTAACCCAAATCGCAAGAAATCTCCTCGGCACATCTGATCCCGGGTATCGTTATTCCTTGTGGATGGTAGATTTCCATTGCAAGTGTATTGTGATCACAGTTCCAAGCCTTTTTATTTTCCAGGTTATGAAATTTCGCTCTTACCTAACTTGTGTGTTAAAATCAACGGTGCTTATGCTGTTGTCCGTTAGCATTCGAAAAATGGCAAGCTGATGGGTTAAATAGATTCAGAACATGCCAGGAGCCCTAATACACACCAGGAGGTACACTGCAAACCAGTACAGTACACACCAGAAACGGGGGAGAGAACTGCCTTTAAATGTGCGCCAGAAGAAAGGTAAAGAAAGGTAAAAGTAATTGAAAACTGAATAACCTTTTCTGCTGTCTTCCAGTGTTAACGTTTTGTACCCTATTTGGTGTTTTAGTCAGCATAAGACCTTTGTTAGCGTTTATCTCTGAAAGGTGAAAAACCAAAGGCCATCATATTATAGAAGGAATGTGAGAGAGTACCAGGAGTGTAAGCATATCATAGTAATGACTATGGCTTCATCTTTTTGGAGAGCAATAGTCATTACAGTCCACACCCCACGCACTGTGCTGCAGCGTCTCACGTCATCTCATGCTTTTCCAGCCCCAGAAGCTGTCATCGTACTGTACCTTTTCCGATTTAGCTTGTGACAGCCCTCCCAGTTTGAAATACCACTTGGGAATTGTGCTGCGACCTGATATGCTGATATCCACGTTCAGTTCGAGGACACCCTCCACAGGTTCTTCGATCTTATACTGCGCCAGTGCCTGGAACACCACCATCGTGGTCTGCGAGAAAAGCACAGACAAGTCACCGGTACATAGCGTTCGACACGGGATCCTGGCAGGATAGCTCCTGCACGCAACTCCAAAACAGCTTGTCAAACGTGGCAGGGAAAGACCATGATCCTCCGGTGCTCACTTCCTCATTCAAGAACCAATGTATTGACACATATTCAAAGCTATAGTGTCAGTGTTTAAGTGTGTTGTGGAAGGCGTGGAATAAATGAACATAGCTGGGCAGCTCTGTGTCAGTCACCAAACTGCCTCAAGCCCTGTTAGAGTCATGTAAGAACTAACTTTGTAACAACAGCACAAATTGGTTTGTTCCTAATGATGTTGTTAGAGAACGGGTGATCAACTTTACAGAACAGGACAAAATTCACCTGTGGCTGAACCACATGAGGCCGCACTGTGTAAAACAAAACGTTAGCGGTCTGTCCTATGGTGCTGACTCAATGCTGGGCTGCTGTGTGTATTGAACTCAATAAAGGCTGAAACTGCACAAGGATGTCTCCAGTATCACAAGTAGTGTGTATCTATAATGTAGAAAAAAGCTGGGAAACCACATTTGTTCGTCTGTCTGTCCACCAGCATGTCTGCCCTGCATGCTCCTATGCTTTTTTCATTGTGGCTGTCTGGCTACAAAGCCTTGAATCCAGTTCAAGAACAGGTGCAAAATCCAATGTACCAGCACCAATGAGTCATTTGGGGGGCAACCAAGTCTACAGTCTTTGATTATATCTGAATTTCAAATCTTTTTTTTTACTTCTATTGTCATTATATTGGTCTCTGCAAGAGTGTGATACTGGCTGCGTAAGGGCACACAGTCACACAGGGGAACATTATATAGTCTTGTCTTGTAAAGAGAGAGACTCTAGAGAGCCTCCCATTGTATATATTGGGGCTACAGGAGAGTTTTGGTTTTAGTACTTTTACCTGTGTCGATCCAAAGCCACCACTGGAATTCCCCTGTTCAATCAGCCACTTATAAATGCGGGCAGCTGTATCCATTTTCTTCAGCCTCAGGTACGTCAGCAGAGCGTAGCCGGTGGCTTCTAATGTGTAATAGTGGGATTGGCTGTCTTTCCAATACCTTCCATCTGAAACAGAACCACCAGAAAAGGAGTAGTGCAGTCTGGCAAGGCTTAAGTTTAGCTAACTGTGGAGAGCAAGAACAGTGCAGGCTGGGATGGCTCAACAGCTGCCACAGTATGTGCAAAATAAAAGCAGTGCAGTTTGGGATAGCTTTCCAGTGGCTAGAGACTGTGTGCTCTCATTAACATAGAACAATCCAGGTGGGGCTGCACATTGGTGGTGGTGGAGGGGAGTCCCAATTACCTGTAAAGCACTTTGAGTGGAGTGTCCAGAAAAGCGCTATATAAGTGTAAGTAATTATTATTATTCTTATTATTATTATTATTATTATTATTATTAACAACAAAAATGCTTACCTGTGCCCGATCTCTCAAGGTTTGCCAGCAGAGTTGATGCATCATTTTGATTGCTCAAAGCTAAAGCGTAGGCTGTGATGGCCACAGAGTAGGGTCGCGTCAGGGTTGGCAGATGGGTCTTCAAGAATCCAGCAGATCTTGTCACCCTCTGAGACAAGCTCTGCACCCCGGCAAAAAGAGATCGTAGAGATCAATGAACACTTATCCAATTGATTTGTTTTAGTTTGGGATTTTTCTTTTCATATTGTACGTAACTTCTTTCACCCACAAAAGTGTTTGATTTGAGCCTTCAGGTGTTGATTGATTAACTTAACAAAAACATGTGTGCTTCATTTGCAATTCAACAATATGGATGGGGAGCTGTGCTGTACAGCTGTTTTGTCTTACCATGAAACGTTCTTTACAGATCACTTTAGCTTCAGCCATGGAGATTAAGATGAAGGCTGTCAGAGTGACCTGTCCTTCTCCTGCTGCTGCCCCTCCCTGACAAGAAATCAAAGACCAAACTAAAACAAGGAAAGCAACAAGTCCACTTCCCTCAATCGAACATTCATTTATATGTTACTACTTTCCACAGGTCAGGCCCAGAGATTGGAGAGCTGAACACTGGAAAACCAACTTGACATAGTAAAGTTAATCATTTATGCTACATCCATCCATTTCCCAAACACTTAATCCAATTCAGGGGTGAAGGGGAGCCTACCATTGTGGCCAGCAAGGGTTGCAAAGAGGGAGACACCCTGGACAGTAAGCCAGTCCATCACAAGGCACACACAAAGACAGACACAAACACATACTCACACCAGGTCCAATTATTCCCAGAAGCCAATTAACCCACCAGTATGTCTTTGGACTGTGGGAGGAAACTAGAACACCTGGGCAATATGATAATTGAGGCCCACCTGTGGTGGGCCTCATTAGCAGCAACGATGAGTCAGCATACAGAGAGGAGGTGGAGCAACTAGTGGACTGGTGTACAAACACCAACCTCTCTCTTAATGTAAACAAAACAAAAGAAATCATCATTGACTTCAGGAAGGCCCACACTGATCACTCCCCACTGCACATCAACAGCCTCCCCTATGGAGACAGTTAGAAGCACCAAGTTCCTTGATGTACACATTTCAGATGACCTCACTTGGTTCCTCAACACCACCTCCCTAGCCAAGAAAGCCAAGCAGCGTCTCTATTATCTGTGGCGACTGAGGAGGGCAAACCTTCCCTCGCCCATTCTTCCCACTCTCTACAGAAGTGCCATTGAGAGCCCCTTGACCAGCTGGATCACTGTCTGGTTTGGGAAATGCAACGCTTCAGAGCGCAAGACCCTGCAACGAATTGTGGAAACAGCTGGAAAGATCATCAGAGCCTCCCTCCCTTCCATTTCTGTCACCTGTCACAAACGCTACTTACACAGGGCCTCCAGTATAGCAGAGGACCCCTCCCAACCCTCCCACAAACTCTTTGCCCTCCTACCATCTGGAAAAGATATCGCAGTGTACGGGCCAGCTCCACCAGACTCTGTAACAGCTTCTTCCCCCAGGCTGTCAGGCTCCTCAACACCCTGGAATCTACTTGCACCCACTCCAATTCCAGAAAAAGGGTTTAAATTTACCTTGTAATTTGCACTATCTGCACTTTACACTTTGTGTATCCTGTCTACAATGTCCATGACAGTGTCATGTCTGTCCTGCCTGTATTTGCACCGTGGACCAGGAGGAACGATATTTCGTTCCACTGTATACTTGTATATGGCTGGAATGACAAATAAACGTGAACTTGAACAACAATAACAATTAATAGGGAGTGAACGGGGCAAATCCCATTTAGACTGATCCAAGTGATGCAATGGATTAGGTGCTGCATCTCTTAACATGGGCTGCCCATGTGGAAGTGACCTTGATCTGTGTGTTGAGCGACAGATTGATGACAATTCATGATTGACGAATGACCAATAGATGACGAGATCCCGATCTGTGTTAATGAAAGATTAATTCTGAAATTCCGATAAACAATTAATAAATGACAATATTCTAATCAACGTACAGTACAGTAGATTAAAGATCATGTCTCTCATGCACAGTAAACTGTATTAGTCACAATCGCAGCCTGTAAATCAAAAACTGGTAATGATCACAACATGCATATATTATCAACTTGTGACTGTGTCTAAAATGTTTCAACATCAAGGAATATAATAATATACATCATTAACATACCATCATATACACTGCAGAAACAGGAGCCTCTTCTGTGAAAGCTCCATTGGGCAGCTGTTTTTTCAGGAACAAGAATTCGAGTGGCTCACACACATGCGAAGAGTGTATTACTGTAAAGGGGTAGGCTACAGAAAACACCTTGGCAACATAAGCTGTCAGCCTGAAAGCAAAAATCAGAGACAAATTAGCTTTTCTTTTTTTTTCCCAATTCAGCCTCCTGGAAACGTCCTTCTATTTTTTTTATTAATCCACCAAATCGAGATGGTTATATCATGATGATTGTTGATGCTTCACAGCTCTTGGATGCTGAGCTTTAGTTTCAGACTGAAATGGCTTCTTCTGTGTGGGGCTTGCATCTTTGAGATGGTTCAGTTAATTGATGTTTCTAAATTGTCATGTTGAATGTGTGTGTCCGGACCCTGTGATTGACTTGTACCCCATCTACAGAGTAATGTTGCATTCCATTCATCTGGGTAGTTACGACCCTTACAAGGAAGTCATTTGTGATGAATGTGCATCAATTCATTATTGTCCAGCAAAAGTTGAGGAAATGTCATGGGACCATAAAGTGTAAGTGTATGGTAAAACAAATTGATAGGACACATTCTTTGGCCATCAATATGCATTTTTTGTTTACAGAATTTGAGGTTAATTTAAAAAAAGTGCTTCTGTGAATTTTATTATGGATCTGAATCTTGATGCACAATGACAGCTCCAACATCCAAGATTCAAACTTGCTTAGGGTAGATCAATCAGTCACATAACCTTCTTGCCTTGTTGGATTTCTCACAGAGCGCATGAATGATGTATTCCTTGAAACTACTTAAAGGGATAGGAAGGAAAATCGGTATGCTTCAACCTGGATCAGTTCTCCCCCAAGAGAAGCATATTGATATCCTAGGACACATGGTAGTTAAAAGTCAGCCAACTACTTGTACTGCTAACATCTCTTATTCCAAAAATGTTTGATCATGTCAGTCTTAGTCATTCTAGTGTCAATATGGTTCATATTTGGTGAAACGGGGTTGTATAAGCCACAATGGCCACTTGGCCACCATTTTGTTCTCACAGCTTAAATTGCCTGTGTCTTAGGAACTGCTGCACTGATTAGCATAGGGCTTGGGATGATTTTATAAGGTCTGCTTCCTTGCATTTAGAGAACTGTGGGTTAAAATGGGCAATAATTGGACAGTGACTCAAGCAAAGTGGCAGAGATCCGGCCGGTAGTTCTTCGAGGATCCTGTGCATAGCCGTGAACTCTGCGGGATGCAGAGGCAAACAATCCAGAATCGTAATCCAGAAGCAAGGTCGACAGGCGAAACGAGAGGTCAGTTAACCGGAAAGGGCAAACCGAGAAGACAATCCGAAAGGCGAAATCCGAAAGGCGAGATCAAAAGGTAAAAGTTAAGTCCGAAAACCGAGAAATCCAACAAGAAAATAATGCGCACTAGAAAACTCTAAGGGGCTTTTCAATAGTGAGCAGGGTTTGGTGCATGAGGGAACTTTAAATACTGAAGGGGAGAGGGACGTGGTTGGATAATTGGTCCAGGAGTGAGAATCTGTGGAATCTGGTGCCTGTGAGAATGTGATGGGTTCAGTTAGGGATGAGAGGGTGAAACAGTGGGTTTGGGAATGTAATGGGGTTTGCGAGGGCGAGTACGGGACATGACACGAAGTTTACAGTGACAGGGAGATGTGTTTTTGCTACATTGGTGGCCACTCGCTGGTGATGAGATTTTGAGGTCACTGAATGTTATAAAATGATCGCCACTGTCAGATGAACATATGGGAGGGATCTGTCTGCCGTTCCTCATTCACCCTTGTGAAGTACATGACGTGTGTTTCCTGATTTGAAACGTAAAGTCGGAGGTCGTTCGATTCTGACAAGATGGAGACTCTTAACTGAACTACATTCCCTAGAAGGGAATCGGAGACTGATCTGCCATCCTCAAACACCTGACCAAGGTACACTTTTGGTTGGGTGATGTTTAAAATCAGGAAGCTGGGGCTTCAGGGCGTCCTTTGAACTCTCACGGCTGTTACAAGTTCTGTTTTGAGAAAGAGTTTTTTCACTATGAAGCGAGGAACCGGCTTAGTTAGAGCTGAATTGTTGTTCTTTGTTCTAAAAATTTTGAATGCATCATGTAACAACTTAACATCTGTGTTTTAAATTACTGTACAAAGCTCTCTGAAATATGCAGCCAGAAAGAGAGAACTGTTACAACAGATAATAAAAATTACTAAGATCTAAGATAATCTAGGTTAATTAAAATAAATCTATTTATTTTAGATAGATATATACAGTACAGATTAATTAAAATAAAAAAAATTGCACAGAATGTATTACTTGTTATTACCAGGTACTTGGTGCCTTTTTACTGTAAGGTGGATAGGAACCATCTTGAAGGCGATAAGCCAGCTGATTGGAATAACCTGCAAGGGAAGAAAAGCTGGTGAGAAAGGCAGATTCTCTGAAACCGTGTGACTCTCTCTACTAACATGTCTGCATCTTTTCATACAACCAGACTTGCAGCTTTGTGCATCTTCAAAGATGGTAAGATATGAAAACTTGTGTGGCAGTTCCCTGCTGTTAGACAACTAAAAAAATCTCCAGAGGTAAGGTTGAGATTGTGCAACTCCTGTGAAACATTTTTTTTTAAAGCAAATGTTAAACAAGAGATTTCAGACATGCACACCTACAAGACTTTCATTTTCATTTGAGAGGGTCCTATCCTTAACAAAGTCATTCATGGTTTTAAGTGCAATCACCCCTGTAAATTATTTCAGTACTTTGATGTTGATACTGATTCCCAAGATGCTTCTTACAGTCACACACACACACTGTTAAGCAGCTTTTAAAGAAACCATAGTTCCATATTCTTGTGAATGAGTCATACCGGTTTTGACGTAGTCAGTGGTCTTTTCCCGATTTTGGACTCCGACACTCGCCCACGCGTTGGCTTTGTCCAGGTAATGCATTGCTATGACCGGAAACGTCATGGAGGCTAGGTTCTGCTCCACGCAACCTCCAGGCAGTCGTATGAGCTTAGTCAGGGCAGAGCCACTGATGGCATTCCTTATAGTTTCCTCCAGCTCATGCCCTGTAGACACAGACCCAGACACAACCATACAGTAGTTCTCTGATTCTGCTTTTATAAACGTGTATCAAACACATCAATACAACGTTGTTCCAGGTGGATTTGTCTGGACAGAGAGGTATTTTAGATGGTTGATTTGCCGATGGATACGGTGAGTGAGGTGATCTTTCCTACAAATCGATTGCTGTGTTCTCAAATTCCAAGAGGATTCTGTCATAAACACATCAGTCACTCCATGTTGTTTTGCTTCATCTCAATGACTGGTGATGCGAAACTACCTATATACTGTAGCAAGGAATCATGCGGTAATAAAAGTGGACTGTGCTGTATCTTTTACAAACATTACGTTGATCAGAATTGTGACCAATATGTTTTTATTGACACAGATGTAGGAATCAGAGTAATGAGTCTGCCGTGATCTGAGCGTGGCTTTCTGCTGGACTTGAATATCGCCACTGACAGCCAGATCTTCAAGTATGAACAAGAAAATCTCAGAATAGCGCCTTGTGTCATAACTTTCTGGTCCATTCTTCAAGGATTCCAGCTTTCCAGGAACAAATGGTCCCCATCTCCAGGACTTGAACTGGATTTGACCACAACTGCATTGTTCAGTTGTGTTGCCTCCTCAGAGGCTGTAGAATTACCTGTTACTGTGATGTGTGTCACTGGTTCTGTGTTTGGAGTGAAAGGTCCCACCGATAACTTCTCAAATGTTACAATTTCCCTTCCATCTGTAATGAAAACAATAAGTTACCACATTCAAAAATGTATTTACAGTACTTATTTAATTTACTGCTTAATGCAGACCACTGCTCAATGGAATCAAAAGATCTCCTCATATTTGTTCTTCAAAAGCTCAGCAGGTGTGAGCCTAGTCAGTATCTGGATGGGAGACCTCCTGGGAAAGTTAAGGTTGCTGCTGGAAGAGATATTAGTGGGGCCAGTAGGGGGCGCTCACCCTGCAGTCTGTGTGGGTCCCAATGCCCCAGCATAGTGACGGGGACACTATATTGTAAAATCCTTCACATGGGATGTAAAACTGAGGTCCTGACTCTCTGTGGTCATTAAAAATTCCAGGTCGTTTCTCGAAAAGAGAACCCTGGCTTCCTCGTCAAATTTACCATTGACCCTTACCAATCACGGCCTCCTTATAATCCCCATCTATGAATTTTGAATCCTTTAGCCTCTATCTGTGGGATATCTTTATCCTCTAGAGCAGCTGATTCAAATGATTCTTCTACTCACCAACTGGACACTAAAATATAAACATCTGTTCTTACATGTTTAATGTGTTTTCAGTAAAAATGCTTTGAGAACTCAGTCATTCAATCATATTTTAGTTCATGTGACAAGATCGCTGTAGGGACAAGACCTATTATTTCACTTAGAATTTTTGTGTTACTTGACAAAGCAGCCTAATGCCTCTCCCTCAATGAAGAGGAGTTCACCTTTTGTCTAACTTGTGAACCTCAAGAAAACAAATTGTGCACAGACTGTACTAAAGACAACTTAGCAGGCTGCTAAGCAAAGCAAGGCAAAAGCTCTTTCTCTCGTTGGCCTCCATTAGCTGCAGAGCCCAGCCAGTGTTTTACGAACTTAAAGCTTAAACTCATCAAGGACATGTGGACAATGGATTTTTGAGTATAATTTCATTAATCACATAATTCTTGAGAGATTTAAGAACTGTTGCAAATACATGTTCGATGTTTAGTTCACAATATTAAATGTGTATATATATAAATGTGATTTAATTATCAGAATCCTGCTTGCTAGGAATGAGCCAGGGAGCTGCTGCAGGGAGAAGTTGGGGCGAAGGAAGCAGCAGTGAGCGGAAGTGGGTGATATTAGGAATTTGACTCTCAAACCTCTGCCTACAAACTCCATTTATTTTCAGAAACTCCTTCGACCGAAACAGATGGAGTAATGACTATCACTGACAAACTGCAGGAATAGGTCACAAATCTGAGGGAATGCACGTGAAATGCTTAAGGGAGGTACGTTTACCTACTGTTGAGGTTTTGAAATCAAGTGTTGGCCACAGCCCATCAGAGAGGGCAGATCTCAGTGTGTTCCCAGGGGTGAGAACACTGTACTCGGAAAGCGACCAAAAAGAGGGTGATGTTCTTACCACTCTTTTCGGAGGGATTCAAAATCACTATCTTCTCATCAATCCTCTTCACACCCTCTGGCTAAAGGCAAATTAAGAAAAATCCCAGAAGAGTTATAATGAAGCAAAACAATAAAATGATGTTCTACAGAATTGACTCACATCTTTAAACTCACATAACATGGATTGAACCTTTAGCTTTGTCCTTTGTTTGTCCAACAATTCCTGGTGCACAGACGTGGAGAATATTTCGACATCATGCTCTACACATCTTGAACATCTGACAATAAAATATCGCCCTTTCTATCTCCTGAGGGAGTTCACATCGGTAGTTCTCACAGTGGTGTATATTCCGCCGCAGGCAAATTTCACAAGGGCACTGAATGAATTACACAGACACGAAAATACACATCCTGA